CCATTTATCGCGCGATAATTTCCATTTATCGCGCGATAATTGCCATTTATCGCGCGATAATTTCCATTTATCGCGCGATAATCTCCATTTATCGCGCGATAATCTTCATTTATCGCGCGATAATTTCCATTTATCGCGCGATAATCTATCATTTATCGCGCGATAAAAAAATGTTTCATGTCCCCTATGGACCACCGTATAAAGCCGCGTGTTTCACAGTACAATGTTCTTTTTTTGCGAAGTTGTCGATTTCAGAAGATCTCCTTTTTAATAAATTAGCGTTGTTCCGCCCATGAGAAGCACGTTTCTGAGCCCGCAAAATTCCGCTTACATTTGGTTTGTGGTTCGCTTAAAGACTAAAATTTAAGCAAAGATCTCTTACGTCAGGTAATTACAGCCTCTTTTTTAACGAAATGGGAATACAGAGAAACCTCAAATCAAAAACCCCGAGATACGCTTCTTGAACAATCATTTTTTGGAGGCTTTGACTATCCTTCCAAGTAATATCGCTATTGTGAGGGAGGTGCAACAATTTCAGGACTGCAATCCTAAGAAACATGGAAGGTAAGAGCATATATACTATGTTATATAAGCAGTAGATTGGACGTAAACTGCAAAAAAATCGAGTTTGCCTATGTATGTTTACATTTTCGACTAATTGACGACACGGTCGAATCGGCGCATTTTATCCAACTTTAAAATTTGATTAAATCACCACGAATCATTTCCCCGAAAAATCCTTTGGAGATCCAAAAGAACTATCTTCTGCCTTCCGAAACCTAGATTTCCAGTTAATTATTTTGTATAGCACATAGTTAAATCCCCGGCTACTTTTGACCTATTTTTAATCTAGTTGGAAGTAGGTCGGATAAATTCAATTAGATTGTGTAAATAAATGGTCAAAAATTGCTCAAATTGCAATCAACATATGTTTTGATGCTGATTTTCACGATTTGGTACTTTTTATCAATCCAGGTTCTTTCATTTTGTGACGCGACGCTCCGAGATTCGTCTCAATNGAACTCAGTTGTTATCGATTTTCTCGAAAATAAATCGATATTCAGCCAAACGAAGAATGCTGCGGTTTGTTTTACTCTTAGGCCAACCTAACTTGAGAATATGAGCCGAATCGAATTTTTGGCTGTTGCCACTATATTTTGAAAATGTTCGTTTTTTGGGCACATTTGCTCTTAAGTCATTGGGTAAAATACCCGGGAAACTGGTCAAACTAAAACAACAATTGGAAGGCAAGCTTCAAACAATGAAAGCGAATCTACTGAGAGACAAGGAAAAACCAGTATTAACAGAAATGAAATATTCTGGGTACTTATTAATAACCTAAGAAACAAGTGAATAGATGAACGATCACATATTTGAACTGCTAAACTGTACCCCTCTCAAGCAGAAAGCCTGCGACAGTGAAATATGATAAAGAATAAATCAATAAGCGAAATGCTTGTCATGGAGCTTCGTGCGTTTTTCCGATAATAAATGCAGCGATTCCAAAACAGTTACAGGCTGAACTGTTGAAGAAAGACTGAAGCCGGAGGTAGGGATGTTTCAACATCTTTGTTTTAACCATATCATAACTGATTTATCGTTTATATATGAATAAAAAATAACTACAAAGCCGGATTAACGAAATTTCGAGCAATCGAGCACTTGTTAGCGAGAATGCGAGCATGCGAGCAGCGGGAAAAATTTTGCGAGCACGAGCAACCGAGCACCTGTGTAATTTCTGCGAGCAATTCGAGCAAAGGCCAGATTTTGCGAGCACTTGTAAATTGAATGGGACCATTCGATACCCCTATCATAATTATGTCTTCAAAATAATTACTTTTTGGTTCATAATGAGGTAAATGCTGGGATAAATTAGCGTGAAAATAGGAAAAGTATCAATCTTGACATTCGTGACATTATCCGGCAGTTTTCAATTAGTAAGAGCACGACACATGACTGCATCAACCCATTCTCGTGGAGATGTTCTCAAGCTCTGGTAAGACACGAAGTTCTCTTCATCATGACATATTTTGAATGAGCGTTTCTAAGTCCGTAAGTGACAGCACGCGCAATTTTAGTTTTTTACAGCATAAGACAGCAGTCACGATTAACTCAATGGAATTTCGTCAACATGTTTTAGCCCGCTTGAGACATGTACAGTTCAAACGTAATGTCACACAGAAGCTGTTCATTTGTACCTTCGTAATTGCTAAATTTGGGGCAAGTTTGGATGAATTTATTGCCAGACATCCTCAGCTTAATTGAACCGTGCTAGTTTTGAAAAGAAGCACTGCCTGATTTTGAGCGAGAAACGGGTAACTACAAATATAGGCATAAATTAAGTCATATACTCTTTGATCGTCGAAAATTAGTAAAGTTCATCGAGCTCCTGTAGCTCGAAAAGAGTAGTTGCCAAAAATGTTTTTGTTGTTTTCGGTACACCAGCCCTAATACTAAACACAGATAGTGGTTAGGACTCCAGATTCCGTTATACTATTGAGAAAAGCGTCCTCGAACAACAGCACGCTTACCAAAATTTGAAAAGCGCTGTTTGTGTGGTATTTTCGAAATTAAATAGCGTAATTCTTATATTTTGGTCAAAATTTACATATTTTGATTAACCGACAGAAGAGATGTAAAATAATACCACATATCCGATTTATGCTATTTGAACAAATGCGTAAGTTTTTAGAGGCTCCAGCGAAACGCTGAAAATTAACGCTGAAATAAACAATTTTCTTTGTTTTTGACCATCCTCACATCTCGTTGCCAAAAATTTGATAAAATATAGCATTAGGAACCAAATAAGTACAACTTTTGCCGATAGAATAGATCGAATATCTCACAGTAAAACTTTGAGGGAATTCTGTGATCGGCCGAAATTCGAGTGGTCGGTTCTTACGCGGACAGCTTCTTAATGATTTGGCAAATAACGTAAGTCATCTAAGACAATAATGCAATAATGCTATAATTATCTAAGAATATTTACTAGATAAGGTGTTAAACTGTTAGCTTATGTATTCTGTAATTTTGCCCCAATAGAGTTGAGTTAAGTCACTGTGCTTTAATTTTTCAAGAACCGAATGCTCGGTTCTAGTTTGTTTTACTCTTAAACGCTTTTATTTGGCTTTTTTTTTTTTCCCTTTCATTTATTTGGCACTTGATCAAATTCTAATTGAAGAATATTGATGTACAATATGCAGATCGAATAAAAAGACTATGGATAAGTGTTACTGCTATACGGACTAAGACTTCTTCTTCGCGTCAAATTCTTTCCTTTCTTTCGAAAAAACCATTTCCAAAACAAGTACCTCTACTATTGGTAAGTCTGGAGTGTTCTTGCAGGTCTACAGACTGGATAAAAAATTGAAATTAGTGTAAATTTTACCTGTTAATTGGGCGCTCTTTTGGAAGTTATGGGCCAGTCACAATTTACTGTCAAGGCGCAAGTGTACACGCTGGCTTGCAATTTTTTTTTTTGTTTTTTGTTTTTTTGCACTTTAGCTCTAAGCAACTACCTGAAAACATTGTGTAACAGACATTTTTCGATTTGCTTTTCAAATTATTTTCACGTGCCTTCTACCATTTGTGAAAACAGTATAAGGATTTTTTGCTACTGAGTACACGCAGATATGCATGTAGGTATTTTAAGACTTCCGCCTCGTGTTCAGTGTTGTCTTTTGTTACAGATATATTGATAACATGCACAATACCCGACTCTGGTCGATGAATATTGAGCAGGAAGCTTTGCTTTGTGCGAGAAAACAAATCTGTCATCTTGGTTTCGTAACTCTGGCAAACCCTTCTCATGATCAAAAGGAAGTTGTGTCACAGCCTGTGTATTTGTCAAAAAGAACGTTCTCCGTATGTTCAGAGAAACAGGTCACAGATGTGCATTTTAAATTCCATCTTTTGAGATGTAATATTCATCATTGAGAGAAGATACAAATATCAAATATTTTGCTTGCACCAAAATAGTCTTTTGTTCAAAACCCCAAGACTTTACAGACAGGTGGATTAGCCTATTACGCCACAAGTTAGGAATTACGTTTGCTAATTTGCTTTTTCTCTTCGAGATATATCGTGAATATTATAAATAGGAGAGAGTTGTCGGGACCTTGTCCACAACTGACTGTCTGCAAAGTTTTGACTTTGATGTAAACTTGCATATGGTATAGATATGTGCATAATCTGCAATTAACCTTGAAGTACTGACATTATGTTTGCCCTTAGGGTCTTGGTCATCAGCCAAACCCTAAATCCATCGGAAGTTGTCACTTCCGCTGGCTGCTGTAGCATCCGGCGCAAAGTTATTTGTTTCTCCATGAACAACAGGTAAGCAAATAGAATTTTCTTTCTTTGTAATCTTGCCCCAAATTCTGCTCTCTCAGTAGCTTGGTTTTCTAAAATCTTCGACGGTCAATGATCTCTTTTTCCTTAGCGGTCTTAACGGGCTCTAGAAGAGGGTACAACTGAAGCAATTCGCCGGAGTGGAATCAGCCAAGGGAGGTTATCATTTCATCGCCATGTTGCTCACTTCGCTTCTGTTCAAAACGATTCTTGTTGCCTTCTTGGGCTCTCTGGATAATCATCACACGGAAGCATGTTCAGGTTGGTGTGAATCAGGAATAAGCGGTTTATGTTGTTACGTGTTGTTACGGGAACCTCATTAAAATTTCTCCTGATTTTAAACGCCATCTATTAAACCATAGTTATTTCATGGAACACGATCATGTAAATACACTAAGGTGAAACAAAACCTTGAGAGTTCGATTGATTCTGTATTGTTGGACGTTGTCATGTCAAAATACATAACTCTATCATGGCCTCTTAGGTAGCCCGTCTAAAAAAAAAATTCACTTAACTTGCTTGCCAACAGAACCATTATATCACAAAAATATAAAATGACTGCCCAAAATTTCATCTCTGCGGCATTTGTAGGAATTCAAGCAATAAATTCTAGTTAAAAATCTGAAGACGCGCCATGTGGGGTCACTTTAACTCTTCCTATTCAAGCTGCACCGATGAAACTGAATGCATTGTGGACATTTTCCCAAACATGATGAAATTGGGAAACCGGATGTGGACGAATGAAATCACATTTGCAAATTGTTGCTTTGGGTAAACCGGCAATTTCTTGATGTTGCGCCATAGATGCAACTAGACATTTATCAGTGATAGATATTTCGTTGATCAAGGTCTGGGTTCACATCCTAAGCTAAACAGAACTTTAAACAACATTAGTGCGAAACAATGTTTGTAAATCTTAAAAGGGTGGTGGAAGGTAATGAAAACAGCACGCTTCCACCCCCACGTGGGCCCTTTTCCTTCCTCGTCATGTTGAACATCCCGACAGCTCCGCTGGACAATCAATAAATTTCATCTATTTAAACCGGACAGCAAGTTTTTCCGCCTTATTCACCAAAAAACAAAAAAACACGAGAGCCGATCGATTACCCACTGAACGACTAAGAGGAGAAAAAGCAACACATTTACCAATTGCCCCAAACACCTGAGTTCTGTCATGGAGCAGGAAGAAAAAATGGAACCATTATTTTCTCCTGGGACCGGTCATTATATTTATCGCCTGGGAGGCGAAGGAACAAGGGGATTCAGACTGAGGATTTTGGAGGGATCTTTTTGGGTGGCTTTTCAGGGGGAACGGAGGAGATATAAATCGTCGCTAAAAGTGTAAAAAGGGGGAGAATGGAAATCTGACTGCCACTGGAATGGATCATTAAAACACAACAGAGCCTTGGGGGGATGGGGGAATTAGTGACACAACTAAAATTCCTCGACCCCCCTCTCCCGCGAATAATATTGACCGGTCCCCACGTTAGGCATTCCAGGGATATCAAGCTGGGAACCTTTGCAAATTTATTTAGTGATGTCGAGGATAGTAAGCTGGTTACAGCTGGTGAAAAGTGCAAGTCATATACCATCGACTATTCGATAGCTATTGTTATAAATATTGCTCATCCTCCTTACACGCGCTCATGGGCTAAACCAGTGTTATTCAAAGATTGATCCAGTACCCAAAATAAAGATTAAGAGGCACTTAAATGTAAACGAACTATAGGAATTTAAAAGGACTTTTAAATATCTTATCATTGGAGAACTGGAATTTACTGAAATATCTCACATTCTTCAGTGCCTTACATCCGTGAAAAGAGTGGAAACAAAGCAAGGGTCATAAAAGTGAACAGCGAGAGAGATGTAAAACTGATGTGCCAGATCAGATCCACCGTTCAGATCCCAGAACCAGGGTATTACTGGCTCAAAGACAATCAGACGCTTACTCCATCAGATCATCAAGGAATGCGTTTAAGACCCTACAGATACCTAAAGATAAGACGGGTGAAGAAAGAGGACGCCGGCTTTTACACCTGTGTTGTTGTGAACGACTGCGGCAAAAATCGTTATACAATGCAGCTCTTTGTCGGAGGTATGTAAACTTCACAACTTCATAAGTTATTTTTTTACATGAATTGTCAAAGATTTAGTTGATAGCTACCTGTATTGCAGTAAACGACTACGGAAAAAAAAATCATACAATGCAGATTACCGTTGTTTATGGAAGTATGTTAACTTCACAACTTATGTTCTGAAATGTAACCTGTAGTCAGTGTAAAAAAATGCTAGTATTGGTGATAGAAAGTGGTGCAGTCAGCTAAGATGCGTCAGAGCCTTAAATCGTAACGGTTACTTCATTTTCTGTCCCATGGTAATTTTAGGCGATTACACGAGAAAAAGCTAATAGCATTTCCATCGGTTTCCCAGTATTTGTTTCCGCCTTTGCTTGCCTAAAGAGCTAGCAGTTAGTCAAAACAAATTAATTAGTAATTTTAGTAGGATTAGCGGTACCTCTTCCCAGCGGTAATATCGCGATAAATTTCGATTAGTGTGGATTTTAGAGATGAATCAGGAGAGGCATTTCAAGGACGGGGATGGATGGTCGGATTACCCTCCCTTCCCCCCTCCCCCCCTCCAACCCCTCCTTCCTTCCTTCAGTGCAGTTCACCCAGCGCACACGTACAAACACAAAGCTTATAAACTAAACTAGAAATAAATTAATAGTAAAAACGCTACCACGCATGTTACACGTATTATTAAGTTCTATACTGTGGATCGCATCCGACCTAAACTTTACATGGGTTGGTATGAGGTTAGATCCCAAACTCCCGATTAGACCCTCAATAAAACGGTCTGACCAAGATATTCTGCCTTATTCACAAAACAAGACAATAAAAGAAACGGAAGAGCCGATTACCTACTTCTATCGAGAAGGTTGAGAGGAAAATAAAACAAAGAATTTATTGTTGTTTACCAACTGACCCAAAAAATCAACTTGTTGGCCGAGAGGAATACCAGGACAACCAAGCCAGGAACTTGAGGGGGGGATTAGTGACACAACTAAAATTCCTCGACCCCCATCTCCCGCGAATAATAGTGACCGGTTCCCGTGCCAGGCATTCCAGGGATATGAAGCTGGAAACCTTTGCAAATTTATTTAGTGATGTCGTGGATAGTGAGCTGGTTACAGCTCGTAAAGAGTGCAAGTCGTATACCATCGACTATTCGATAGCTATTGTTATTAATATTGCTCATTCTCCTTGCCCGCGCTCATGGGCTAAACCACTGTTATTCAAAGATTGATCGAGTACCCAAAATGAAGATTAAGACGCACTTAGATGTAAACGAACAATAGGAATTTAAAAGGACTTTTAAATATCTTATCATTTGAGAACTGGAATTTACTGAAATATATCACATTCTTCAGTGCCTTACATCCGTCAAAAGAGTGGAAACGAAGCAACGGTCATCAAAGTGAACAGCGAAAAAGATGTAAAACTGATGTGCCAGATCAGATCCACAGTTCAGATCCCAAAACCAGGGTATTACTGGCTCAAAGACAATCAGACGCTTACTCTATCAGATCATCAAGGTATGAGTTTAAGACCCTACAGACACCTTAAGATAAGACGGGTGAGGAAAGAGGACGCCGGCTTTTACACCTGTGTTGTTGTGAACGACTGCGGAAAAAATCGTTATACAGTGCAGCTCATTGTCGGAGGTATGTAAACTTCACAACTTCATAAGTTATTTTTTACTTGAATTGTCAAAGATTTAGTTGATAGCTACCTGTATTGCAGTGAACGACTGCAGAAAAAATCATACAATGCAGATTACCGTTGTTTAAGGAAGTATGTGAACTTCACAACTCATGTTCTGAAACGTATCCTGTATTCAGTGTAGAAATATGCTAGAATTGTCGATGGAAAGTGGTGCAGTCAGCTGAGATGCGTCAGAGCCTCATGTCATAACGGTTACTTCATTTTCTGCCCAAGGGTAATTTTAGGGGATTACACGAGAAAAAGGATTATCATAAAGGT